TATATATATATATATATATATATATATATATATATATATATATATATATATATATATTATATATATATATATATATATAATATAATATAATTTGATCTGTTATTTATAAGTTGATGAACGGCAACTGCTGCTGCAGAGTCACGGCTTGCCAAGTATCCCCAACCAGAGATGAGCCTACATTGGTGTAGCTTTGTCATCGGGTGCGTGTATGTGATGATAGAGCATACACAAGCTTGCTTGTGAGTTGCCCATACATACACACATACATACATACATACATACATACATACATACATACATACGTACATACATACATACATGAGTACATATGTATATTGCACATATACGAACGGCAAATGCTGACGCTGATGATATCCCCTACAGTGTCACGGCCCACCTCGGCATCACCAACCAGAGACACATCTACAACGGTGTAGCTATTCTCATCGCATGCGTCTATGTGGAGATAGACAACACACCCGCGTTTGTCCAGGCACTCCTCCAGGGAAGTAACAACACGTGGCAACGGCTTATGAATGAACAGCGAGCTACGGTATGGTGATTGGGCCCTGCTGTGGGCTAATGGTTGTGGTCAGAACGTTCACAACAGTCGTGTGCTGCCATGTTTATCGAACGCTCTATATATGACACTGCTGTGGATCTATGGTTAATCGTAACAAGATACGTTCCACAGTGTATATCGAACGCTTTATATATGACACTACTGTGGATCTATGGTTAATGTTAACAAGATACGTTCCACAGTGTATATCGAACGATTATATATGACACTACTGTGAATCTATGGTTAATGTGAACGAGATACGTTCCACAGTGTATATCAAACGATCTATAACTACTATAGAATATATCAGATCTGTGTTTTTTTATATCTCTGTCGGTGCAGTACGCATTGCAGACGATCACACTAAGCAAAGCCTTTCTTATAGCAGCACACTCAAAGCAGTCCAACAACATCAAACATCAATTATTTCACCTTTCCCCTCCCTCCCTCTCACACACATACACACCTTCATAGACGTGCAAACATATGGTATATATGTATATATATATATATATATAAATATACTATAGTATGTATACATAATATTATATCCGCGCACGTATATTCACATAGGAGCCTGCGTTGCTGTGCGAGCTACTGTCTGTCCTGGCAGTGAATCAGGCCGTATGCGAACCTTTAGGCCAGGCCTATGACCCGCAATTCCTGCGCTTATTCCCAGATTGCCTGGCAGTATACCGAACTTTAGGCACCTCTGGATTCAATACATCCCTCCGCACAGGTATGTGTGTACTTCTCGCTCTGGCTGTGAGGCCGTGTCCGGTTTATCAGCTCTATTTACATGGATATATGTGTATCTGTGTGCGGGGTTAACAGCTGCGTACTTGTGGTCGTGAGGGCTGCTATGTTAATCCAAACGGCTGCACGGCATACTGTCATGTATGGATACACACACACACGCACACACACACATATA